CGTAGCATGGCTTACATTTTAATATCAGATAATTAATACAGATTTATTATTTGTTATGCATATATAGAAAAAATGTAAGGATGTGGTATATTAAGTTTAGAAAAAATGTAAGATTTGTTATGTTTACTAAAATTAGAAGGTATCCTATGTTACATTTAATTGTTTTTGCTAGTATAGAGATAATAAAAGTTGTCTTGTATAGATTGTGTTTTTTTTTTTTAATTTTTAATTAGAAATTCGTTTTTTGATTAGTGGGAATGTGGGATATATGTATGTATGAGATTAATGACAAATTATGTAAATAGTCTAATGAAAGATGGGTAATTATTTAAATTGGAGCCAAATCATTGTGAGAGCGACACATCAGCGTGACAATCTTGTAAATAACACATCATGGTAAGGTTTATTTTTAGAGTGTTTCTCTATTAATATATAGGGGATATATATATATATATATATATATATTTAGAGATATTTTTGAAATAAATATTAGAGTTGGAATGTATTTACAAAAAAATGTCATTGGTGGGTCAGATCAAAATTAAATATTTCAACAAATTTAAAAGTTTGTATACCGTTTAATTCATTGTTTTAGTTGAAATATTTAATTTTATCAGCTATAATAAATATGAAACTTTTAAGAAGTTTTAAATACTATAAAAGATATATTCAAATAAAAAAAAATTATAATATTATGAAATTTGAACATATAAAAAATGAAAATAACACGAGACGAATTATATTGCAGGACGGGGTTATATGACATGGTGAGTTTGAATCAACATTAATAGAAATTTAAAATATCATTAACACGCAGCTCAATACGGGTTAAATTTTCATTTTGTTATTTTAACACCACCAATATTAGACATATCGAATCATGCTGATTTAGTTAAGATTGTATAAAACAAAAATTGTTTTGTGGTATGCTTTTACTTAATGGCAATTTTAAACTATAAAATATAAATGTCTTAAAAATGATACAATTTGCAAAATTTTATATATAATACTTAATCATAAAATTTTAAAAATTACAAATTTTGAAAAAAAATTCGTCCCGCGATGTACCGGGGATCACTCTCTAGTTAGATGTGTTTTTATAAACAACATTCTAAAATATAATAGTTCAGCGCGGGATAATAAATAATTATGGTGTTATTAGGAAAAGAACATGTGTTTTTTAATCAACAAATAACAAATTATAAAGTTAGCTATTTTTTATATATATTTAAAATGTAGATTATTGTTTAAAACGGATTTTTTGGCTGATAAGCTAAAAGAATTACATGAGTTACAAAATAGAGAAACCCAAATCGAAACCCTAGCAAAACAAGATATGCAAAAAGCAGTACAGTGGAGACGCAGCCCTCGCCTTCCAGATCTGATGCTAACCAAGACGGTTTCTTTGCAGACAAGACCTCGACAAGAAGTCATTGGCTGGAGCTAGCAAAACCCGCCGAGAACAAGCCGAACCAAGATCTCGATAACAAGTCACAACAGTAGATGATGGATTTCGACTCAAACAAGCCATCAATCACCGAGATCCAGTCAAAGATCACCCGCGATTAGCCATCTAGGATCCGGCCAAGGCAGATCTGGATACAAACCATCCCTCACACCACCGGAGAAGATAGTCGCTCACAACCACTTCACCCACCCTCCTACCCAGCAACTTGCGATGAAGACCTTTAAATGGAAAAAGCAGAGAAAAAACGAGAGTAGATCTAGATCTAGTTTTTAGGAGAGAGAACAGAGGTTTTTCAGAGAGAAAGATTGTCACTGTTTTTCTTAATCGTATTCTGCACCGAACCAAGTTAATGCGATTGAAAAGTGAAACATAGTAACTGTTTTCTTCCTTAACCCCCATCTTCTCCGGTTGTTTAAGGGTCGGCTGTTGGCGGTTCCTGTTTCTTCGCTTTGATTTTACTTGGCTTTCTCTTTTAAACTAAGTTAAGTGTTTCTTTTTGTTCTGGATTTCGAATTCTGAATTTCTTCTTCTCTTTTGTAAAGAAAAATCAATTATGTTTGGATTCAAAGCGTCTCTATTCAACATCCATGGCAAACGATATACAATTTCTGACGGCTATGCTGTATTTATTCCGGCATATTATCCCATTATATAAATGTTAGAATTTAGAATTGTGTTAGTTTCTGGTGGTCATCCTGATCGGTTGATGGCTTTCTGATGTTTGAAACAAATCTTTACAAATTTGTTGTGGAAACGGCGACTGCCTTGGAAACCGCCATGGAATCAAATCATAAAGACCTTTCATTTCTGGTCGTTGAAGAACGTTAACAAGAGAATCGAGATCAGGGTTCTATCATGGGTGATATTTACAACCAAAACAATGTCATCACCTAACTCAGTAGATGGAAATGTTTGCATGTTTTGCGATGTAACTGATGGATCGCCACCAATTGATATTCAGAAAACGTATTGGAGTTTCATAAAAGAGATGATAGCCAAACAAGAATATCAAATTAGACTAAAGACGAAGACGGTCAAGGAAAATAACAGATTTATCAATATGTTAGCGTGTAAGCCTTACCTAAGAAAGGAAGCAACGTGTAATTTCAGTTTTTCAATTATTTCGTTTAACTTAAGTATTATTAGTTGTATGGATTGTAGAACTTTATGTGTATGCTCATTAATATATTTGTAATCTCTCATTAAGCTTAATAAAGAAGACGTTTTAAAAAAAAACTAATTAAATGGTTATAAAATATTAAATAAATGTAAATTTTGTCAAAAAAATCAAATAATATGAAACAAACTAAAACATCTTATAAAAAATAAAAAATGGAGTATTGTGTTAAAAATAAATGGAGTATTATTTAAGATTATAAAATTATTGGATGAATTTGCTATATATTCAAAAGATTGGAGGACAATCTCAATAATACCATTATTACGTGACTGATACACGTCTCAAAAACATGAAACACACGGGAACAAAAGGCTCAAAGGCTTGTTGTGAATGAATGAAGATGATTGTATCCAGTTCGTGATTCAATCCAAAATCACAATAACATATGCTTGTTTTGTTCCTCACAAAAAGCCAAATTTCACATGAATCTTAAGTGAATGAATCCACAAAATAGAAAGGACTTCATAAAGAGAACAAATCGAAAGGCATATAAAGCATTTGAAGCAAAAACAAAAGTTCTTAGATTGATAAAAGCATGAACTAAAAGTACAAAGTTATTGAATTTATGTAGACTCAGAAATAAGACCTCCAACGATCAGTAATATACCAAAAGAGATCACAATATAAGCAAAACTCAATCTAGCCGTTACACTTTATTGGAGATGGTTTGTGACTGATGGTTGCAAAATGTGTGATCTCTTTAGGTCCTTTAGGGTGCAATGGACGTCTAAGGTCAATTGAGATGATTGGTAGATCTATGTAATATGTCCATATTTTGAAATATGGCATTGCATGAAGAAATATTACAAGAATTAATGTGGTTTTATATTACCAAAGTGCACTTAAAACCGAAACCCATCCAAAAATTAAAAATATTGGTTTGGTCTAGTTTGGGTGCCTTGGTTCGATTATTTATTCTCTATAACTAGGTATTCAATTGGTTGGTTGGAGCCGTGTTCTAAAAAGCAAGTGAAGTTGTTGCTAGATAAACTCAATTTCAGGAGAATTGAGCTTACGCCATGTCTAAATTTTTGCTAAGATATCTTACCATTTACGCACAAACAATTAACTAAAAGTTGATTATATGAATTTTTTGGAATATTAATAATAATTATATAAATTTATGTAAATGATTAAAAAATTATCTTAAAGATACGAATATAATGCTTCCACTCATATTGGTTAAGGATTTAAAAGCTTCTATACCAGGTCGAACATTCGAATCCTAGATAATACAATTTCTTGCAGTCTACCGGTGCAAAACTTATCGGAGGTTCTAAAGTACTACAGCGAGAGCCGTTCGTCGTGGTCTCGTGTGCTGCGGAGAGAGTCTGTCCATCGAATGTCATATATATATGTAGAACCCTTTGTCGCGAATCGCAGTATTGCGGGGAGAGCTGCATCGTGAGATCATTGGTTGTGGAAGTTGTTCATCGTAATAGCATATGTTGCAGGTAGTCTACATCATAAGAGGATTAGATCAAATATTTCTAATGATGATGTAACACATGATAAAAAAAAGAATATGAGTTCAACAATTCTAAAATGTTAATAAACATATTGATGTTCTAATTTTAGATAAATAATTAACCTAAATTAAAATTAAAAATAAAATAAAAATTAAATGCACCTAAAATCTTGAAACACACACCATCTATAATGCATAGTTTTTAATCTGTATAGGATTCTTAATTTAAAAGGATCTTATTTCAAATATGATTTGATTATGCCTTCTAATTAATTGCAAATTTGGCATGTTGTTTTATTAAGAAAATCTTGATCAAATGGAAATTTGAATTTTGTTCTATGTGATATATTATTTTCCAAAGTTATTTGTATTAAGTGGTGATTGAGCTGTTTCCATGTGTAGTAAAGAAAAAATCGTTATAGTCATGGAAAATTTTCTATAAGAAGAAGATGTGTTGTGTTTTTCAAAAGACATACAAAATTGCTGTTAAAACAGATTTTGTGATAGCTTATGTTTGGAATGGTGGCAACGGGTCAAATAATACATAATGATTATATTAAGTGGTGTGATGCAGTTAAGTGGACTTTGTTGAAGAGAACACAATGGGTATGAATGGAAGACGTTTAAATAGTGGGTCATCCTCAAAGTCGAGGAATTACAATGAATTTCAACATTCAGGCATTTTTAACGAAATTACAAAAAAAGCAGATGAAATGCAAGAGGTTCCATTATTTTTGTCTTTATGTGAGAAAAATGGATGACTCATGCTCCACTCCATACACACCAATTTAAGAGCGTTTTTACCTACAATGCACACTGTTCAAAACTTATTTATTTTAAACTACATTAAAAACTATTATTTTCTTTTCTCCAAAGTTGTATATAAATCACCTCTTGCATTTCATTTCTTCAAGCTTCATATCACGTTTCATCTTTTCAAAAAAATCATCACCTCTTTAACATATTCTCCAAGTTTCAGGTAAATATTTATTTTATGTATAGCTAAAATTATATTTATTTACATTCAATAATAAGTATAGTTTCTATATATGTTATATAAATTTATTACTATAATATATCATAGTTATTTATACAAATTTTTTACATGCAATTATAACATATTCTAAAAATAAATTAACTATATATATATATATATATATATATATATGTATTTCCTATCATTGTTTTATTTAAATATGACGAATCAATAAATGGTACTTAACCAATGATGTTATATATGTTCAATAGATTTTTATATACACATGTTATTTTATTTTATTTTGTTATTTTTTGCGATAATACACATATCTTTTATATAATTCAAATTTTACACATACGTGAATCTTTACAAATATGAAATTAAATTTGATATATGCTAAATATAAATATATATATATATACATATATATATGTATATATATAATAGCTTCATATATGGTATAATCAAAACATAGTTAGTTAATAAAAAATATCAAAATATCAGTTGTCATTTATATGAGAAAATATGATTTAAATTTGTCAAATATATCCAATATAGTTTTAAAATGAAACATTTATTGGTAAAATAACTCAATCATTTGTTATGGTTTTATTTTGTTCCATATATTCTTAAAATAGTTCATAATGAATCTAAATAATATTTTTAATATTGCAGATATGACGTCTAATCGCCGACAAAACACAAATAATATTGTGGATGCTGATACAAATTTTTCTGCTGAAACATCACAACGGGTAAATATCTCCTATTTGTTTTTCTAAATTTTAGCGTAGTTAAAGTTTAATTTAAAAATATGTTTGAATTTTAAAAAACATTTGTAGTGTGGAGACAATTTCAAATGGACTCCTAACCGAGAAAGTATATTTCTTGAATTATACGATAAAGCAATTGCCATGAATAATTACCGTTTAAAAGACCCTACACCCCTTGGTAAACAGTTTTTGGTTGAACAATTTAACGAGAAGTTCAGTGTTAATATAAACTATCGGTTCTTCAAAGAAAAGATTGATCAGTTGAAAAAAAAGTAGAAAAAGTATGTACAGCTTATGGATAACACGGGCATCACGGTTGACCCTGTCACACATCAGATAAATGCAAGTAATGGTGGAAAGATCAAGAAGTAAGTATTTATGATATTTCTAATTACATAAATATGATTAGTAAATTTTACGTACAAAAATTAATTAAATTTTTTAAAAAATTTTAATAACAGGTATGTAAGATTGTACACGCATTTCAACGGCAACCGCCACAACTTTGGGATGTGATGCAACGTTGTTTCAGATTATATAATGTGAAATCCCAGTCTCAATACTCTGTCAACCAGCGAAGAGAAGAACTTATGAATGAAGGCACAAATGATAACGAGGGTCGACTACAAAAAAACATGTTGATAGCATCACTTATTTTCTATACTTACATCGGTTATCGAATGATACAAATGAGTTACCATCACTTATATAATTGATATCAAAAGTGGCGATGCAAATTAATGCATCGGTTATAGCAACCGATAGCAATATTTCCATCAATTATAACAAATGATGCTACAATACGTCAGTTATAAGAAATGATGTAAATATTGCGACGACTACAATAACTGATGTAAATATTTACTAAATGTTTAACACAATCAAGTCAATGATAATGAACGAACTAGGACTAATTATAGCCTGAACAAGAAGGATTATAAGCATTCAAGTCTCCTGAAAATTATTCAGAGACAGTAGAGTCACTCATGTCAAACAAGTCTCTAGGCTGGACATGCACAGCAATATCCCACCCTTTCTCACATGGATCTTCTACATAGTATACAAGTTTTGCTTGAGAAGCTAAGATATATGGCTCATCTTTACCTCTATATATAACTATCGGGAGATGTGATTTTCAAGAGATTAAGTTCTGCAAGATTTTGCAAATTGACTAATAATTTACTAACTCTTTCTATAATTATGTATGTTTAACAAAGCATCCAACACACACAAACAAAACAAACGATGGTGTGAATTTGAGTTTCAAAGATATAAACTAAGAAAATGATAAATTTTCCAAGTCGTACACAGAGAATTTAAAGTTTCACAAACAATCAAGTCAAACAACACAAAGAGGAGATAATCATGCTTTTGAATTACAAATTAGAAAATGAAAACTAAGCTAGGTGTGATTTGTTTAAGAGATCAATCATAAAACGACAATCAAATATCAATGAATCTGAAAATTAAAGAGATGAAATACTAGAATTACCTTATTTAGAGTTGTACTCAGATTTCTGAAACTTGGTGATCCTCTCTGTTGCTCTTGAAAAACGCTATATCAAAATAATTTTGAGGTGAATATATATATGGACGAGTAACTGACGCTTGAGATACCTAAGAATTATGATACCACTCCCGCTTAAGGTTAGAAATTTGCGGGAATCTAAATGAAATATTTTAGGTTTTCACATATATATATATATTTATTAAGTGTTACATGAACGGTGCTGGGAGAATTCTTAGCCACGATCAGAAAATTATATATTCAATTTAATCAAAAATAAAATCAGTTGTAGATTCACCAACCCAACATCAAATATATCAAAGATAGGACATGAATTACATAAAAGAAGATAATTACATATATATTTTCTTCATAGTTTGTTCAGATCTGTGATTATAAATATTTAGTATAAGTGAAAGAGAGAGAATAACTCATCTGCCAGCAATAAGAAGCTTCTCTTTGCTCTTCATGAAATTTCCAAAGCACAAATCAAAATCATCCATAGATAGTTAATCAAATCGAAGACGGCTTCTTGCTCTATCGAAGGCATCGTGATAAAAGCGGCGGAGCTTGGAATCATCGGAAATCACCGTACTGTCAATCCAACAATGGATTACAAACAAAGGAAACAAAGAAAATTGATTTGCATCTACTTTAATATTCTTTTGGAAACAAAACTGAAGCAAAATCGAAGAAGAGCAGATGTGTAATGGCCAACGGCGAAAGAGAAGATGAACATATATGGGCTTTACTTAGATGGGCTTTGCAAGAGTCATTTTGTATTTTGTCGTTAATTTGAGTCTACTCTATTCACATGGGTAGAACATTATTCTTATTTAGTTAATGTTTTATTATATTATATTAACATGACCAAACAAGAATAATTAAGTCACATACATGCATCTGTTTTATAATTGAGGTTAAATTAGTATTACTTGTTATTGATGCAAATTTTTTTTATTAAAAATACGAAACAATTTGCAAAAGCATCAGTTAAATTACTGTTACAAATACGAATTATTAGTGTTGCTTGTTAAAAGTGATGTAAATTTAGATTATTTAGCATCAATTTCAAACAAACGTCATAAATCAGGTGCTATTTACATCACTTATTAGAAATGATGTTGAACTGCCAAATTAGTGTCACTTATTTTTAATTAATTCGAATTTGCGTCAGTTAATTTTTTGACACAATAAAACTGACGTTAATCACCCCTTTTTTTTGTAGTGGTCATATATACTCAGAAACATTTGGTGATGAAATGCCAGAAAGTCAAGTTCCAGAGACACAAGAAAACGAAGAGGTGTATACGTGAACATTGATGATGAAACATGAGTTTACACATGAATATACACGCCTGAATTCTCCATCAGTTGATCCAATCCAGATTTCGGCTTCTAGAGTAAAACAACGAAGTCATGGAAGTACCTCACAAAGATCAGCAGGAACCTCACGTGTCTCTACTGCAAGTGGTTCACGAGGAAGTCGAAGAAAGCAATCTTTTGAGAGAACGCTAACAGATACAATGACTGATTTTCGAGAGTTTCAACGCCAAAGTTTACGTCCAACTCCGTTTGACCAAGAGGATTTCGACGAGTGTGATGTAGCTGTGAAGATATTTGAAGCAATGGATCTTCCAATCAACACAAAATTTTATTGAGAATGCATTAAGGCATTTAGAGAAGACGAATTTTGGCGTAAGTATTTTATTGCTAGAGCTGACATACCTTTCGAAGATAAAGTACAATTTTTACAAGCTCTATGAGGATATACACGCGATGACGAACTTGTGGGTAAGCGTTTAAACACGAGTCATCATTTTGGGAGTTCAAGTTCTGCTTGTTTTCCTTATGGCAGTCCAATGTCTGGTGGTTTTCACTACAATAGTCCATATTCTGGTGGTAATTCGTAGGGTCAAACTTTGGGTGGTCAATGGGGTACACCACCAAATGCTCCACAATGGAGTATTCCACCAAGTGCTCCACAATGGAGTACACCACCAACTGGTCCACAATGGAGTTCATCACCAAGTGTTCAACAATGGAGCACACCACCAAATGCTCAGAAATGGAGTTCATCAGCAAATGGTCCAAAATGGAATTCACCATCAAATGCTCAATGGGGTTCATCATCAACTGCTTTGCAATGGAGTTCACCATCAAATGGTCCGCAATTGGGGTCATCACCAACTGATCGACAATGGCGTTTCACCAAATGCTTCAGAATGGAGAACACAACAACCTGCACCAAACTGGGGAACACCTGCAACTGGGCCACAATGGGGTTCATCATCAAATGGTCCAAACTGGAGTTCACCATCAAATGATCCACAATGGAGCTCACCACCAGTTGCTCCACAGTGGAGTACATTATCAATTGATCAACAATGGGGCTCATCATCAAATATTTCACATTGGGGCTCTTCACCAAACTCCTCACAATGGGTTCCTCCAGCAAATGTTCAACGTGGATTTTCACTAGAAACTCAAGATAAAATCACACCAAATATTCAACACAAAGATTATGAAGAAACACCAGTTCATAATTCTTCAACAGAGCAAATACCACGAATACGAAGAGCAGGAGGGTTATTCAACATTTGGGGAAGGAAACGAGGACCTAATTTAATTGAAACTCATCAAAATGATTCAGGATATGAAGATTAGTTTAGTAGGCATGTGTTTTATTATTAGTCATGATTTCGTGTTTTTTTTTTTAATGTCTTTTATGTATTTTGTATTATTGATTAATGCTATGATGTTTTTTTTTGATCTAAATTTCTTTATCTTGTGTTAACAAAATTTTAGGTTATTCAAATATGCCAGTTGCGATCGCGAGGAGTCCAATTTCTAAGTTACGAGGAAAGAATTAAATTATGGAATTTGGAAAACGAGCAATTTGAAGAGTTGATAATTCAACCAGCATTGAGTTACTACAATCAATATTTTCAAAGAGGACCAGTCCAAACAGATGGCGGTCTGGGATGGCACAATATTTGGCGTCGTCTACAAGAGGATGATGGTGTTTGTCTACAGTTATTACGAATGTCTCTTAGTTGTTTCAGAACATTGTGTGAAACACTACAAATAAATTATGGTTTACAACCAACATCAAATGTAAGCATTGAAGAGAGTGTGACAATGTTTCTACAGATATGTGGTCACAATGAAGTTCAAAGAGATGTTGGATTGCGATTTGGACGAAATCAAGAGACAATGAAGAAGAAACTTTTTGAGGTCCTTACAGCGACTGAGTTACTTGCCTGTGATTATATCAAGACTCCAACAAGACAAGAACTACGCTGAATTCCTGAACGATTACAACTAGATCGAAGATATTGGCCATATTTTAGTAGATTTGTTGGAGCAATGGATGGAGTTCATGTTTGCGTAAAGGTAAAACCCGAATTACAAGGAATGTATTGGGACCGACGTTGTAGAACATCATTCAACATCATGGCAATATGTGATTTGAATATGTTGTTCACATATGTTTGGAATAGAGAACCATGATCTTGTCACGATACAGCAGTTCTCACAATCGCACAAGACAGTGATTCTGAATTTCCTTTGCCTCCAACAGAAAAATATTATGTAGTTGATTATGGCTATCCAAACAATAAAGGTTTTCTTGCTCCATATAGATCTTCACGAAACAGGGTTATTCGGTATCATATGTCACAATTTGAAAATGGTCCTTGATGTGCGTGTAATTTCACTTCAAAACTTTTACCTGAAAGACCACACGTTAAACTGCAAGTGCACAGTAATCAGAGTAGTATTTTAGGATCGATCCCACAGAGAGTATAGCTACGGGTTATTGAATTCAAACAAGAAGATTTGGCTAAGACAAAACTAAACTTTGGGGTTTTGGTTTTGGGTTTCCTAATAACTAATGCAATGAAATAAGAAAGCAAATAAATGAAAGCTAAATGAACTAATGAAAGCTAAGATGATTAACGGTTTTAAAGTAATATGACTAAGGCGTTGGGCGTTCTAGGGTTTTTCCAGGGATCATGATTCTCGACTAACTAGGGTTTAGATCTCTAGGGTTTTTATGTTTTCGTTCTAGTTTATAACTACGAAAGGCGAATGAACGAGTTATCCTATGTTATAGAATAAGCCGGAAAATCTCTCTATACTCCGTTACTCAACTGACGTAGGCAACGACGCATAGATCGACGCATTAGGGTTGGATTCGCTAAGTACTCTAAGTTCTGTTACTCAACTTACGCAGGCAACAACACGAAGGATTGGTAACACTATGTCCGAGATTAGGTTTACCCGATTAGAGCTCCTAACCTCTTGGATCAGCGTTTGGTGATCAATCCAAACACATGCATTAAGTAAAAGATGTCCCAAAAGAATCTAAGTATGAACGAAATAATAGATCTATAAATCTAATATGATTTGAACCATGAAACCCCTTTGAATCACCCCATAAAACCCAACAAAGAAAACTACTCGCTCATGATGCTAAGAAACGACATGGAGATGAAGTAGAAAAGCATAACAAACGAATATGAATAAACAAAGGGGGTTCAAAGGAAACTTCTCTAGTGTCACAGAAGATAACTTGTCTCCCCAAAAGTCTTGAAAGAAAGAGAAGAAGAAAGAGTAGAAAAGAAAACAATGAAGAACAAAGAGGAGAGCTTCAAAGGACGACTTCTTCGGGATACAAGAGCTTCGACGAGGTGGAGCTTGAAGAGCTGAGAGTCTCGTCAATGGAGGCTGCGAGATCTAGGGTAGGAGGCGGTGAGGAAGCTGTGTAAAAAGGCCGTAGGGTTTCTTCAACTTGTCTCGGTATTTATAGGCTTCGATTAGGTCAAGGGGCAAAACCGTCATTTCCCACGGATTAGGTTAAATGAGGCTCGAGTTTCTGGAAAGGGCACAACGTGTGATGACCGGGGTGGAGTGTGAAGAGTAGCTCGGGCACGGGCACTCACGACCGGGGGCTCCAGGGGGCGCCGGTCCGGTCACAAGCCTGTCTGGTTGGTCTGGGACATGTCTTCACTCTTCAGGGCATAACTTCCGATTGGCTCTTTGAAAAGCTCCGATTCTACTTTGAGGTGAAACTAGACATTTCTAGCTTTCCATAGCCACCATGATCTCTTGATTTGGTAATCGGGAAGACCTCGAACGGACGCCATACTTCTGAGGCACATAAACTGTCTTGAAACGGGATTTGATCGTCTTTTACCCTTTTTTCTTGAAAACACATTATTCATCTTTGAAGAATAAATACTTGGAAACATCCTTGAAATATCCAATATCTTCTGTTTTCTCCATGAAATACCTAAATAAAACATAGTAAAAGTGGGCTAAAATACGATGTTATCAACTCCCCTAGACTTAGACTTTGCTTGTCCTCAAGCAAACAAGAAAGCTAGGCCGGCGAAGAGGTTTGAAAGACCTTGGGTATTCTCTTAGTATCAGAGACCATGTCCTAAAAGATATCCTGCGGACGCATAAAGACATAGACAACACGTTAGAACATTCTCACTATAGGCTCAAAACTTTCACTCCCCTTATCCATCCGTCTCGACCCTACAAGAGAACTCTGAAATCACGTTAGTCAACTCTCTAAATTCATTAATAAGTGGCGTAAGCCTTTCTAATTAGAAGGTTTCATTCGTGGTAGACGGCGCTTGGTATGAAAGGGGCTGTTTTGGTGTTTAGGTGGTGGAGTTAAAGTGTTTAGGGTTACCGTAAGTCTCGAGAAATGCAGGATATGTTGCAAAACCGCAAGAGAGAACGGATCGGTTTGATGTCCACAGTTTCCAACCACTTCTTCTTGTAAACACCTCATCTCCTTTCTTCTTTTCGTCTCTTCGATTCCCCTAGACTTAGGCTTTTCTGTAGGGATCTCTGTGAATGATTACATCTCTCATCTAGGTGATCCATGTCTTTCCTTGGGATTTCTCTGTACTTATAAGACTTCTTATTTGTAACCGCTTCCTTTCATTTTTTTTTTAAATTTTTTTTTTAAGAAAGGGGAAGCGGTACTTATTTACAGGCGAGTCTTAAAAGCACGAAATAAGTATCTTCGAAATCGAATGCCAAGGAAGAATAAGCTCTATACCAAATCATCACATCCTCTCTGTAACTTCCGAATCTCCATCTTTGTGGCGGGAAACTGTGTCGTTCCTTTCTCTCCGACGTTTGCACATAGCTGCTAAAATGAGAAAAGGAAAAAGAGAATGCATGAGGTCTGAAAAGAGGATAGGGTTTTAAGGGTAGGAACCACTAAAAGTGAGTGGCCATTCAGGATCAGCAGAGAGTGGTAAAAAGGGATAAGAAGTCCTGAATGTATATGCTCGTTTCCCCGATCTAACACCTTTTCATGAGAAAGAATTAAGTTCAGGTTAGATCGTTGATAGTAGGATTTTAACTAGTTCTCAATTCCTTAAAGTACTATCATGTCATTGTAGTATTTAAGGTGTCAATCCAAATGGGTGTGATGCTAGCAATCAAGATGCAATCAGATTTCACAGAGTCAAGCCAAGAAATAACAGGTTTTGGTGTTTCTAACAATCCTAGGTGATCATACAAAAACAGAAATTCTAATAGAAACAGGCAATATACTCGATCACACAGCTTGATGCCAAGCACTGGATGTGGTCGAGTATCAAGTCGAGTACCAAACAGAAACTGCAACAAATGTACTCTACCACACAGTCCGTTTCCAAACCACTGTGTGTGGTCAAGTACTTTAAATGAAATAAGTAAAAATGCAAAAACAAAGCAATAGGCAACAAGATCAAGCAATCAATAGCGATGTAAACAAGGAGATCAATTGGAAGAGAAATTCCCGAGGATGGGGTAATCGAGTAGTGAAGTCTCCTTAATCTAACAGGTGGTTAACATGCTCAACAAACTATCCCTAGACAACAAGTTCAATAACCAAATCAAAGTGATACCGCAACAGAGATCCTCAAGCAAAGCTAGTCCCAGACTCAATCACCATTGACGAGAGCTAACCTAACAGGCATTACGAATCAACAAGTTAAAGTCAAAACGCTCTCTGTAACCAATACCTTGGTACAGAGCCACGAATCTCTGGAATTAGTGGTTCAGACATTTCATCGAACACCTTGTGGGTGCGGAAATGTCTGGGCTCAAATTCCAGTTGATCAGAAAGAAATTAGCATTAAGAACAACTAATCCAGAAGGGATCTACCAATCAAACTCAACCACCTAGCAGATCAAGGATTCTAAACTACTCTAACCCATCCTCAAGAACCCTAATCACTACTCAAAACTCATGAACATGAACATAAACCCAGAAATGCATAAAAACTTCATATTAGCAAGATCTCAACAAGATGAACAACTTTGTAGAAGAAATCAAAAGCAAATACTCAATAGATTAAGAGAAATCTGGATTACAAAGATGAAGAATACATTAATTGTTCTGCAGAATAAAACTTAGTCTGAAAATTATGAGAAACAACCTTTTTATAGCAAATACTAGGAAACCCTAAATCACAAGACGACAAAGTATTAAGGCGGTTTTACGGAGATACTCGACCCTTGTGATCGAGTAGAGAGGTTGAATAAAGTTGGCGCCTTTGCGATTTCTTGCTCTGGGCATGTTGTGATCGAGCACTTGGGTCGAGTATGTGCTCGAGTTCTGCTTCATCCTCTTCTCTTCCTTATGCTCAATGTCTGGTTGAGTTGGGATCTGAGAAGACTCTGAAGCTTGTGATCAAGTGGTTGCGGGGAGGTGGTGATCGAGTGTCTGGTCGAGTGATCTGAGGGAAGCTTGTTGGGAGTACTCGACTGACACGATCGAGTGGTTGATCGAGTGATCTAGATACACAAGGACGCCGGGTTGCTCGACCACACGGTCAAGTATGATGACAGAGGATGCGATCAAGAGTTGATGGCAAGTTGTGGTCGAGCATCTGCTTCAGTGTTGTGGTCGAGCATCAGCTTCAGTGGCCAGGATGATGGTACTTGACCTCGTGGTCGAGTATACTGATTGGTTCCGGTCCACTTCCTCCAATTTGCTCACCAACAACTCCAAATCACCTGAAAACAACACAAATATGCAACATGCATGCAAAACTATCCTAAAAATGTAAAGTGATGACAAATCATGAGAAATGGTATGAAACAGTGGTGAAATGATGCTAAAGTGACGACAAATGAATGTTCAAAACAAGTAAAAT